GAACATGACACAACAACACAACGAAAACGTAAATATAAAACAAAACAACAACACAACAACCACAACTTAAATAGACAACAACACAAAACATAACAAAAACATAAATATACAACACAATAATATGAAACATAGAAACACAACAAAAAATAGAACAAAGCAGATACGAACAACAGTAATCAACCAAAACAGAAACATAAAGAGCCAAACATCAACATACACACACACGCGCACACACGCACGCACACACACGCACAAAACAAAAGAGAGCAAAGACAGCATCGTAACTTCACACCAACTGTCCTATCAAACTGTAACATAATAAATAAGCCTTCTTAATTTCGGATGATTTAGTGACAATCAACTACAACGCAGTTGTAACGAAAATAAAAATTCCACTTTTTAGCAATTTATTTTCTGAAAAAGCATCTAATTTTTAGAAGAAATCAAATATTCAAGTACAGTTTTGACTGTGTACTTGAATACTTGAGACAGCTCAAACAAAAACCGCAGACACGCAAATTTTTAAAATTATAAAAATTTTCTCTGCTACCTCGTACGCAATGCGATTACTGCGGTTTAAAGCCATCTCTCACCAATGAAATTGCAACGATTGATGTCATTAGCTGAGAAATGATACATTTTTATGCGTTTCACAAAAAATAAAACCGCTGCTGTTTTAGCTGGCCTCATTCATGCTTATGAGATTTTATTCAAGTCGCTTCACACACACACACACACAATCACACATTCACGGACACAAACATACACCACGCACGGCATATATATATATATATATATATATATATATATATATATATATATATATATATATATATATATATATATATATATATATATGCACACACATACACACGCAAGATATGTTTGCATCCCCGTGCTTGCCTAACTTTCTACTTACTGACACATGCGTCCAGCACACATAAGTTAATTTTATCTTCCAACAAAAGATTGTAAATCGTTTAAAAAATGTAAAAAAAAATAAGCCCTTTAAATGTCAAATAACTGAAATGGATGAAACAACGTGGATTGGTGGATATAAATAAGAGAAATGAAAAAAAATAGAGAGAGAGAGAGAGAGAGAGAGAGAGAGCGGGTTGAAGGAGAGGGTAGCAGTTGAAATAAACAATTGTTTACAAGTCTCCGGAGTCTCTTCAAATGTGTTCTTCCATTCAGTGCACGAACAAACACACGCACGCACGCACGCACGCACACGCACAAACATTACACACACGTATATAAACAGTCGTGGACGCGTACATTCATTCACTTCCTATGTGCCAAGGTACACGTCCATCGAAGCGTCATATGCAAGAGTTTTTCAGATTTGTACAGACTGCATTTGAACCACGTAACTTCTCTACAGCAACAACGCACTCGTAATCACTTGCATTAACTCGCTAACCATGTGGCCCATTTTGCTACCTTTCAAACATGTGGCCCATTTTGCTACCCATTTTCAAACAAAACTAAAACTACACCATCGTCAAAAATCTGCAAAAAGTTTTGTATGTATTATTATGTTAATGTGTTACTGAAAATAAGTTTATTCTTTGTTAAAAAGACGCCGCAATCAAAAAATACGTAATGCAATGCTTGCTAACACACATTCATCTTTACAAACATGCATACTCAAATACATAAAACCCACACATTCATGGTAAAGAGAATGCTTGGGGTACAATGTATACACAAGAATGCTGTATACAACGAACAGACAACGAACATGGTAAAGAGAATGCTTGGGGTACAATGTATACACAAGAATGCTGTATACAACGAACAGACGTTAACAAATCTACATGATTATTTGTGTGTATAGATGTGAACGAACTACAAATAGGCATGCGCATAAACACTTCGAGACTCACGTGTTTATGAGCTTTTAAAAACATACAAACAAGCGTGTAGGCAAACACACGCAAGCAGACAAGCAGGCATACAAAGACGAACACGCAAACATGTCTGCGTC